ATGGTTTTGATTTTTTTTAATTCAGTAAAATACATGCTATATTTATCCACAATGAAGCAAAAATTGTAAATATCTGATTAATAAAAACTGGTATCATTTTAATTATTCAGTTATTTTATTTAAGCATGTTTCAAACAAAAAATACAATTAAACATAATAACAATAACAAAGATCAGTGAAATAACGTTAAAATTAGCACTTCGTGATAAATATTGTTATGCAAAAAAATTAAAGCCATATCACCAAATACAAAACTTTGAACAACAGTCTGAAAACTTCCATACTTAAGTCAGAGTAAGTTAAACTTTTAAAGTATGCCCTAAAAAGATTGCTATTCAGTAAAATTACAGTTTTAAAAAATCTCAGTAATTTTTGGAAATATTAATTCAATCTAATTTTTTTTACTGTGTAAAATAACTGATTATTTTGACATAGGCCTAATTAATGTACTATAAAATAACAGATTTCTTTCTCATTTATTAGTCACTATTTTAATTTGCTAATAATTATATACATTTTTGGATATGTTTGTTTATATAATATATAAATTGTGTTTGATTTTTGAAAACAATCATAAGATTATATCCATAACTTATGATTGTTTTCAAAAATCAAAAACAACTAGATTTCCATTTTTTAATAACTGTATTAACAGGGTTGATGTACATACATGTATACCTCTAAAACTGATGTAATTTCAAATATTATCAACAAATTTTGAGATACTAAATATCCAATTTACATTGGCTTTTACTTTAAAATTTCATTTTATTTCTTTATTTTCCTTAAAAATTATTAAGCTAAACAGAATCTTAGGTTTTGTCCATCGACACAGGGAAAGAAATGTTATTATCATTTTAGAAACAGCGTGACAGTTTGCTTGATGGGGCGTGCTAAAATTTTGTGTGCTGTTTATCATTTTACTCATCGATTGAAGCAATAAAATCAATACTAATTTGCATATGAAACTGAATACAACAATACCCAGGTAATATTGGCCAATCACATTGAATGATTGTTTACCAGTAAGGCATTTGTAGTCAGGAGCAACACATGGTCAGTAAAAGCCCTTTTCTGTCCTCAAAAAACCATGTATTATATTTGTTGTGATTTGACCGGACAGGGTTTTATATACGTATAAGAATTAAATTTAAAGAATGGAATTAGTAAGGCTACTCTGCTACTGTTGTACTATGTAGCTGATCAATATCATCATTTCACAGTGTTATAGAAAGTAAAACTTGCTTTTGTCCGTTCACATGTAATTGTTGTTTATTCGATGCGATTGGTCAGTTTTGTCAGTGATATTGCTGGGTTCTGTGTTTCATATGCAAAGTATTATTGAGTCTATTGAAATCATACATCCAATCGATGAGTAAAATGATAATCAGCATACGAAATTTTAGCACGCCCTATCAAGCAGACTGTCACGCTGTTAGTAAAACAATAATACCAGTGCTGTTATGATGACATCAATTTTCAGATGATCTGCAAGTCTTTTTAACCTGTCAGGTGATATTTTTTTCTTTTTGGCTATCATCTGTCTTATTTTGAGTTGTTGGATGAAAATTATTTGAACTTTGTCCAAATGTAATTTCAAATTTCATTCCTTTTAGCGTTTATCTAATATACCATCAGATACAAAATTAGTGCCCAATAGAATTGCTATATCAGTGTTGGAACATTTTTACCTTGCTGTTACAGATAAGACCCAACGTTATTTTCCTTCAATATTTTATAAAGAATTGCACAAATCTGAATGAAATTAAAGAACAAAAGTCAAAATAAATAGAAAAATCTGTTGAAAACTTACAACTATCAAAAGATTTGACAGAAGTTGTGGCATTACTTTTAGATCAACACTCTAATTTTTATATTATCATGCTTATATCTTTCTATTTTACATATTTTCCTGAACATATAAATAAGTAATTAGGAAAAATTCATATCTTCGATTTCTTTACATTGATATTCTACTGCAAAATTTTTGAAGCTATAACAAATCATATCCATGTAATTGTTTTACAAAATAAAAGAAGTTTGATTTTTATATTGACATGATTAAAAAATTACACATTTACATGTTATTCAAAAACAAAAACCGTGCATACATTGTACATTCATCTATAACATTGAAATGTAAGAGGAAGGATCCAACTAATATATTATTTTTTTGTTTGTTTTACTTAACCTAATAATACTGCTAAAAACAATCCTTGCTGAGAAGTGATCTCTCTAAAAATAATTATTTCCTGATGTAAAGGAAATAATTCATCAATTAGGGATTTCCGTCTTGTTCAAAATTACCAATAATTCAAATTTAGAAAATCCAAGTTTTTTTGTTTATAAGTGCTTCAATAAAAAAAATCACTTAAAAATCATTAAGTTATGTGAATTATTTTACATATGTATGCTACAATTAGGAGAAATCAACAAGTTAAGGAGGCTGGGGTGTGGCAGCCATTTTAAGACTATTTTTATCTCCTTTAAAAGAAGAGCTCCATATAAAGATATAAAAAATGGTCAAATTTTAAGACTAAAATATATGAATTTTTTCTTTGCCAAATGATAGTTGACAGCTTAAGATACCGTACCAAAAAAAATAAGTTAAATCTGGTGGTTAATTTATGATTAATTTGTTGACCCCCCAGCCTCCTTAAACATTAATTACGATGAGATAGAAGCAATAATTTGCTGAATGGTGCTTTCAAATATTGTATAATAATATACAAGGGCGCGCTGTTCGAAAAGTTCGTAGACTAGCGCCATAAAATTAAAACTGCTTAAGATACATCAATGAATATTTTAATGTTTAATTAGCTTCATCTTTTTAATTTATATTATAAATTATACATCATTATATATATTTTCTAAGAAATCATTGATGTTTTTTAAAGCAAAGGTATGTCCAGGCGACACAACCACGAAGATTACGTTTTTTTCTACTAAGTGTAACTGAGAAATTTTTTTTTATATATATGAGCATTTGTCATCCAAAATATGCCGTTAATTCATTCATGTGCTATTGCAATATCATACCATAAAAATTGCAATTTTAGCCCTATTCTGTAAGTTCTATGAAATTTTATAGTAAATTTTATATGAAATGTCCAAACAATTCATGAGTTGTAATGACGTCAGAAAGGGAGTTGGTTTCTTTTTCTAACATGCTTTAAAGTTTCACCCCCTGGGAAAACTGGCATAGACCAAGAAAATATTTAAATGAGCAATTGAAATATAAAATGTATTCAGAGTATCTGTTATTAATTGCCGAAAAATATTAGAGAGAGGAGAAATGTAAAAGTTGATGTCAATTTGTAGTAAGAGTGTTTAAAGTTTGTCACGCAGAAAAGAGACGGTGATCATGTGTGATAGATGTGGAACGCCGACTAGCAAATGTGCAGTTATAATCAAGTGAGAATCTTTCACTATGTATAGATCTATTTACAATAACATATGGACTGAAATCTGCTATGCATGACATTTTAAAATTATATTAACAATACAAATTTGAATCTTTACTTAACTCCCAGGAATCTCATCAAGATAAGTGTATGAGGCAGAGAATGCTGACACAACGACGTTTTCAAGACTATTCAAACTTTCTTAAATAAACGTGGTTGTTTTTCAAAATAAAGATCTTTACTTTTTTTTTTTCTCATACTACCTCAAATTATATTTGTACATTTAAAGAATTTAATTTTGTTTTCCTTTCTATTGCTACGATGTATACAATGTATGTAGTAGACCATATGTATATATATTTTTTTATTTTGGCAATTTTACAAAATGTTGTATTCGAAGAGGACTATCTAAGTGACTGAACTTGTGTCCGATCCTTTTGACTTGTTCAATAAAATATATTCAATTCAATGTCTTTATTTTATTATAATTTGGAAAATATTTAAGGTATCAAGCTAAAATTTTCAACATTTTTCTATCTCTTATTGTTTATGTTCCTTAAAAATTTTGTAAGCTTAAACTTATATATATTTGTAGTATTAATTTTATTGCATCTGTCTTTGAACTTTTCAAACAACCCTCTTATTCACAAGCAATTTTGACAAAAACAATTTTTTCCTGTCTTATGAACCAAATTCTTTTTATCCTGAGTCAGGAGGGGGCAGGAAGGCTTTTTATTAAACATGGCCAATTTGTTATTATTTGTTATTATTTTAGACATCATAAAATCTCTATGCCCTGATTTTTAAGGGGGAATCATATAATGTTAAAATAGTTATTGATTGGATGAAAAGACTTTGAAGTGAATTTAACGAGGCTGTTGGGTGGGGTGGGGGTTCATCAAATTAACCATCAGATATAACTTAAATTAAATTTTTATTAGATATGGTATCTTAAAAGCTATGAACTTCCATTTGGCAAAGAAAAAATTCTTAGGTTTATAATATGATTATTTTTGTATATTTTTTTGGAAATCTTCTTGCAAAGGAGATGCATATAATCTAATAAAAATGGCTACAACCACCCAGCCCTCTTCAAAATTTTTTTTTTCAGGAGTTGTTTTAATTTTGTCTATTCTTATCAGTTGGTCAGGAGGCTAAAACATTTTTGAAGATGCATGGCCTTACCTATCCTTTGGAATAGACTGATTATTGTTTGTGATTTTCAATGTTAGCAATCCCATAACCTAAAATTACCAAGAATACCAAAACTAAATCCTCATTAAAATTTCTGATTATGCAGGATACATAATACATGTATGTATCCTGCATAAGCAGAATGATAACAATTACATATTTAACAAATGTCATAAAAATGTCATTTTCAAAAAAAGTAAAATATAATTATCACAATTTGCAGGGTTTATTGCAAGATTATACATTCATATTGGTCACTAATATGCCATATATTACAGTGATTTTACCATCTTAATCACCAGTGCTCTCTCTCTCTCTCTCTCTCTCTCTCTCTCTCTCTCTCTCTCTCTCTCTCTCTCTCTCTCTCCAAACATGGTATGTGTGTGTGATGTGTCAATCCCTCTATTGCAGGTCTTTCTCTGTCACTCCTTTCGTGGCCAGCTCCTCCAATAGTCTGTCTAGATAGTCAGGATCAGGGTAAGCAAATCTAATTTTCACAAAGGATAACATATATACAACAATGCACATAATTTAAACTTGTTAAAAATATCGTTAAATATATTTTTTAGTGTAATATAGGGATATGAATATAAAAAATAATATGGGAGTTTAAGTCAAACAAATTTACCTCTCAGGACCACCACGCACATTAGTTTTATGGTGAATATCATTCCATGTGATGACATTGTCACGTCCAGTAGTTCTTGAATAACCAATGGTGAAAACCAGACGTCTCTCAAAGGCTATCTGTAGAAGTTTGAGGGCTAGTTGACCTTTTGGACAGTCCGGTAGATATGCCACCCTCCTCTCTCCTCTGTAGGGCACACCAGGGTTAGGATGCTCTTCCTAAAATTATTATAGGAAACATAATATGAAAGTTAATACTTTAAGTCATTTTAATTCCAAGGTGGTAAAATTATTTTTAAAAATTACCATTCGCAACAGTTTTAATTTCATGCTTCAAGAACTTGATTTAAATTTCGTATACGCATTTAAACATTTTTTTGAAATCATATATGATAGCATTCGTGGTGGGTTTAATCTCGAAAATGACGAATCGTGAACATCATTGTGAAATTAAAACCATCATGATTTAATATTTGCCAATCTACAGTATTTACTACAAATATTTACTATAAATGCGCCAAATTTAATTGAGTTGAAAGTGTTTTTTTAATCTTTTGCACTTTTTTTACTGCAATAATTCAAATAAACAATTATGTATCTGGTTAAAACAAATTTGCAAGGTAGCTTTGCTTTTAATGTGCAAATTTATGAAAACACTTGATAAGAAGAAAGATTTCTCTAATTTCCAGAGCAATTTAGGTACCATTGCTGTATACATGTATTTACAAAGAATATACATGTAGTTATGTTAGACTCTTCAAGAAAGCCACTGCTAAATCAACACTCATTTATTGCTAAATGAGTCCTTTCACCACCTTCAACTCTTAATATTTTCATTATCTTTGACTCTTCATTCCATTAATTAATGTACAAAAAATCAATTGAAATGATAATAATCAAATGCCTATCAATCTGCTTACTTATTCATCATTGACTATATGTATTCTGTATTGATCTTTTACAGAATTAAATGGATATGAATCAGAAGGAAACATATATCTTTTGATTAAAAATGGTACATCTGAACACAATAAAATTATAAGTTATAAACTACATTATGTTCTTACCCCTTGTACACCTTCTTTGAAATCATACACAATAACATGCGTTTTGCATTTTGGAAATCCTGGGATACTTTGGTTAGTTGTTGTAACTGTCATGGTGCCTTCTGGTTGGTTACCACAGACAATCCCATAAACCTCTCCACAAGTGGGACAAACAGGCTTGTGTTTGAACTGTCTCCCTATGCAGGGCTTGCAGAATTTGTGTTTACACTTCTCCAGAGTTTCGTGGTCCTCCGCCACAGAATCCAAACATATCACACACTGGGGGTGCTCCTTGTCTGGTCCTGTAGCAGAAGTCGTCTGCTTGGCTGTGTAGACGTCAGCTGTCTGACTGGGTTCACCATCCTCCCCGACATCTGGTACGCCATCTTCTTCCACATCCATAGCCACTTCTTCATCACAGTTTCCAGCCCCGTGGGTCTCATGTTGTTTCATCATTTTTTGGGCTTTGTCTCTCTCCTCGCCTACATACACATCTAATGCCCTTGTCACTACCAGAGTTGTCTCATCATTAGAGCTGACGATGTGGATACAGTTTAATTGACAATCAGATGGTTTTGTGTTAACGAAGTCAGTTACCTGTTTCACCAAATCACTTGACACAATTTCTGTAGAATTTTCATCTGAAAATCAGAAGTGAGTATTGATCACAATTTTTGCATAAAATTGGGAAGAAATTCAGATAGAATATATATATGCTTTAGAAAACTTACATGAAACTAGCACACCCTAAAAACACAATTTAAATTCAACCATAGTTTTGGATATTAATAAGTTTTCATTCTAAAAATATATTTAGGATTATGTATGGTGATGTGAAAAATGTTTAATTTCCTTATCATCTATTTATACATATAATCTGAGTATACAGACATTTTTCTCAAAACTCTGCTGTATATCAAAAGCTACATGACTATATAATCTGTTCACCAGGAAATCCCTATACTACATCATAACATTCTTCCCCTTGGAAAAGGATTTCCTTTTAAAGTTTTCAGGTTATTTTTAGTTAAATTAAAAATATTCATATAAATTCTTCCTGCAGATCGAGATCTAAAATTTCATATTTGAGGACAGTATCTGATAAGGAAATGCTAGTATATCTCATATTAATGAAAATCAATTATAAATTTTCCATTTAATAAGTAATTTCATTTTTGGTTTAAACTCTTGTAGATGTAAATAAAGCACCTGAAATTTGCTTTTAGATCACCAAAAAATTTAAAATTTCTCAGTTTTCATAGATAGTAAATGTTAATTCATTGAAAAAAAAAAAAGAAAGCTCCAAAGTTAATGTATAAAAGTAATATAAGGTAATAAAATTTTTATTTGTAAAAAAAAAGGAGGAAAAATATGGTTTTTTGTAATAGTGTCTGATCCCCTATCAACACATCATTAACAGAATTAATATGTCTTGATTCAAGCCTTTCAGAAATAGGTTTAAATCAGAGGTCATGAGGTCAAGAGTATTCTTAGTCAAAGACATATGAACATATATATACCGGATTACATTTATGTGAACTACATGTATGAAAGACCTAGCACCTGAACCCAAGATTAAGGTCATACACAATGTAGTTTGAACTTTATTGGGTTCTTCCCTGGAGTTGAAGAGTTCCACTAAATAAAGGACCTGTGTTCAGTACTTTTAATGTCTATATATGGATTTGTACACTTCTAAAACAAATTTTGATGAAAAAAAAATCAGGAAATAATGTTTTGTAATTTTTATGCATTTTTCTTTGAATAATGCAAAAATTTTCATAATTTGATATCTTCCAAAAAACCCTGGTAATGCATAGTTTACTGATTTTTGGTCTATGAACATCTGATGGCACAATAATCTTAAAACAAGAATATCTTGAAAAATTATCAGTAGGTAAGGTACCTTGTGTATGTCCTTAAAGTCTTATAGAAGTAGTTAAAATTATAAGGCCAAGTTCAAGAGGCCAGATTTCAAAAGTATACACATGTAACCTAAAGTGTGGTTTCAGTTTTCAAAGAAAATTATTGGCAAAGGAAATATACATGTGAAAAATATACATGTGAAAACCCTAGCGCCATTCAGACGGTATGCCAAGGCTAAAATCTTGGAAAAATCTATTATTGGGTCAAAAAATGTTCGTACTCAACCAAATGACTAGACTTGCGATAGCAGCTTCTGAGATACCAAAGTTTAACTGTGCATCCAGTATTTTTAATCCAAACGGTCATTCCATTAGAGCAAAAACAGAAAAATCCATTTTGTCCTGCGTTTATATACTTACCCAGTTTTTTTTTATGGATTTAGCTTATACAAACATGTGCATGATCAAACTTCAACAAAATCCTGAAGAAATATATGAACTTACTAGCTACAACCAAAGGCATGGCTATGTTGTAGACCTGTTTCTGGCAAGCTTCCTGTAAAATCTTGGTGTGACAATTGGTAACACTCTGTAGCCATTCTTCTTCTGAGGACGCTTCATCACACACAGGTGATATCATCATAAATATGTACACAGTCTCATCAAAATTCCTCCCTGCTTCCACCACAAAAACATCTCCAGGCTGGCTGGGACAGCTTTTGCATTCTTCTACTTTAATTTGGAATTCTTTACCCCCTAAGTCTGCAATAGCTCTCGAGATCTCCCCTTCATGTTTAAAGTTCTTGTCTTCGAAGCAAACTATTGCATTTGCATTGGATTTTATAATGTTTCCAGTGTAAACTTGCACAGTGAAGTCATTAGATAGCAAATATTCATGATAAACCACACCTCCTCTTTCATAAGTTCTGGATTTTGGAAACCCTGCAGTAAACCTCCCCTCCAGCCCAGAAGCTCCTGTTGGTGTAGTATTACCAATGGGTCTGACCGAAGCAGAATTAACCGAGAGGGAAACAAAGTCGCTCTGACCACTAAACACATAGGCAAAAATCTGCTTCATAATGAAAACCACTTGTTCATCCATGTCTATGAAGTGGATCTCCTTCATTGAAGATCCTTTAATTTTTTCACTGGCTGATATCACAGCATATGCATACTGATATGCACACAACTCAACTGGCATACCAAATATACCTGCAGGAATCAATCAAAAATGAGCATGCAGTCATACGCGAAGTGGACAAGAGGCAGTGCGAAGTCACCAAAATAAGATAACTACTAGAGTAAATGTGTTTACAATATTCAAAAGCATTTAATCTCTAAAGCATACAATTTTTTTTGATTAACAATTCATTTTATTCACAATTTATCATTATCTTTACTAAGCACCAAACGTTTTTTAAAAAAAAGAATTTTGATCTAAACAGTCAAGCAAATAAAGCATCTAATCTTTATTTTACATACCAGAACTGATCGCGGGAAGCCCGATGGAATCCATTCCTAACTGTGCAGCTCTTACAATGCTGGATTCCACGGCAGAATGTAGATGTGTTTTACACAGACTCTCCTTAGCAGGGTCCCAGCGTGGACCGACAGCATTGATGACCCAGGCATAGGGTAGCTGGCCAGCCTCTGTTTCCGCGCATGTCCCGACCTTCACAAGTCCATTTCTCCTTATGTGCTCCTTGCATGCCTCATCAAATGCCTCACCTGCTGCCTGCAGTATGGCAAAAGCCACCCCAGATCCATGCTGCAAATACTCATTGGCAGCATTCACAATGCAAGACACTGGAAGCTCTAGAATGTTCTCTCTATAAACAAACACCTGGATACCCTCCTCTGTGATGAATGTGGATACATCATTTCTGGAATCAACAGGAATTGGTTGCTTTGGTGGAGCTAGAATAGGTAATGTCTGTTGAGGCTTTCCTGGAATGTGCGAAATCTTTTCTAAAGTTGAATTTTTCACTCGTTTGGCATCTTCTGAAGACAAAGCAATGACATGGATTCCATTGAATTGTTCTGCCAAAGGAACAAAGAGGAGGGCTTCCTCAAACTGGGGCTGTATTTCACTCACCATGGACTGCAAAACTGAATTTTCCAGGCATGGTAATGGAATGGTATCTACATGCATTTTGTCTGTCAACTCTTGTAACTTTTGTTTTACCATCATCTCAGCTTCAGAAAGATTTTCAAATTGCCCAGTCAAAATTATCTGTGAGCAGCGGCCATCATATGTCATGTTTACAAATGTTAGCTGTGATTGCAAGTCTTTTTGGTAGAAGTAGAGGAAGGCTTCATACACATCTTGTGGGACCTTGGGTATAACAGTTTCTCCCTCCATAGCTTTCTGTCGGTGATCTCCTGGTGATGACTCAATGTTCCTGATCTCTGACATCAGACTGTCCATGTGAGATTTAGTCGTGGTCACTCTCAGAACCATTGGTCTTGTGACATATTGTCCTGCTCTCTTTACATCAGTTTCTTCTGTGTTAATATAAATCATCAACAAATTAAGGTTTATTGATTCTGCAGCAACAACACATAAGTTTCAGCTTGGCTAAGATTGTATATAATGATGACATTTAGTGAAACATTTCATATGAAATGTACAAACCACAATACACTATTCTAATACTGTAGACGTACTTTTTTCCGTGGGATCATAATTCCGCGGAATCTCAATTTCTGTTTAATCCGCGGGTAGAAAATTACGCGGATTTTCTTGACTGTCACTATATGCCTTATATTTATATTAAGTACGCTTGGACAAAGTTCCGTGGATTGTTTGTGACCGCGTACATAGCGTAAATTAATACCACGCAGAAACAAGAGGCCCATGGGCCACATCGCTCACCTGAGAAGCTTTGACCATTCTATTCTTTACCAGATTTCTCCCTTGTAATACATACTGCATCCCCACCATACCCCACTGATCATAATTTAGACAGGATCCTCCCATGTGCACATAAGTTTCAGCTTTTCTGGCCCAGTGGTTCTTGAGAAGAAGATTTTCAAAGATTTTTCCTATATATTTCTATGTAAAAATTTGATTCTCCATTGTGGCCCCGCCCTTCCCCTGGGGGCATAATTTTTAAAATTTAAAATATACACAACCCCAGGATGCCTCCACATAAGTTTCAGCTTTTCTGGCCCAGTGGTTCTTGAGAAGAAGATTTTCTAATGACCCCACCCTATTTTTGTCTTTTCTTGATTATCTCCCCTTGTGAAGGGACTTGGTCCTTTATTTTAACAATTTAAATTCCCCTTCACCCAAGGATGCTTTGTACCAAGTTTGGTCAAAATTGGCCCAGTGGTTCTTGAGAAGAAGTCGAAAATGTGAAAAATTTACAGACAGACAGACAGACGGACGGACGACGGACAAAATGTGATCAGAAAAGCTCACTTGAGCCTTCAGCTCAGGTGAGCTAAAAAGTTCTTCTACAGTATATCAACAAATGCTTTATCATCAACAGTTTTCTACACACCTTGTGTGGCGTGTGATTGTAGCTCCTTGAGAACAGAGTTGAGGACATGTTGCTCGGTGACACATAACTTGATTTCTCTGATTTGTCTTCTGTGATTCCTCTGTTTGGTGAATTTACAAACAGCCAGAAAAACGGAGGACACAAACATCTGACTGTCCTCACATAAAAGATCTGAAAAAAGTTGTCCTCTGATGAGATACCAGTACTTTTATTGATCTACATTAATGGCAATAATTATACATTATAAGTCAGTAACAAGAGTGCTGTATGTAACAAAGATTTATCTACAATCAACAGTCGAAGTGATTTTTTTGCTTTTTTGAAAGTTAGATTGGTAATACAATGTGCTGCTGCTCTAGAAGCACTATAGAGCATGATGAACCTATTAAAGAATAAACACATCTTTTTAAACATATTTCATGATGGTATATCTTCTAAATGTAATGTTCACATATCAAATACATGTATCATAAGTCTTAGTTTAAAAAGATGCCTGGTCGATACAAAGTTAATGTACAAACAAGGCAAGAATACAAGAAAAGAAAACTTAATTATAGTTGAACAATGATTCTCTGCATCAAAGCTGAGATAAATTATACTTCTTCCTACCATTTGACCTGACTGGGATTATCAGTGATTTAATGCCCTCCTCCTTCTCCGCTGTTCTGAAGGCTAACAGGAGAGCCTCCTGTAGTTTATCTGGGCTGGTGTGTATATGGATTATTTTCTTCTGGGGCAGGTCTCCAGCAGGGGTCACAAAATTCTTACTGAACGACATGGAGATCGTCTCTGCAAACAGAATATTATGTATAAATATGTTATCGTCTATGTAATATTTTGAATAAAACATACATTTTTTCAGTTTTCATTAAGGAATGAAGCTTATTTCAACTTTTGTTATACGATATATCATAACTTGTGGCAGTTTATGCTTTATAAACCGCAAAGCTTTATAAACCACGAAGGGGTTTATAAAAAAGTGTAAACTGTCCCAAGTTATGTTATATCATATAACATATGTTGAAATAAGCTCCATTTCTTATAATTTAATTTCAATGTAGACAACGAGACAATTTTTCCATTTTTTCCTTTGGAAAAAGGCTTCAAATATCGCATATTTAAAAGTTAATGTCAAGCAGAGTAATACGTTTTTGATGTAACTCATTGTGACGTAGGCAAGTTATGTTATACAAAACTGATAAAACTGTTTAACCAATCAAATGACATGTTAGGCCAAAATAAAATCATAGTTTGTTTGGAACTGCCTCCCGCCTCATTGAAATGCCCCCTCCTAAAAAAAATTTTATTGACCAAAAGCAGGAAGATTTTTTTTTATTTAATCAATTTTTTTGCCCATTACATGTATCACATGCACCATACAAAACACTGAAATATAGTGTAGATATCTATGTAAAATTATGTTTTTTTGTCAATTGTAGATATTTTTGTTTAAAGTCAGAAAATGTATTTACTGTTTACTGAGATTTTTATAAAAAAATTAAAATTTTTCTTCCATTTAAAAAAAAAAAATAATTTCCCTCCCTCCCTCCTCTGTCTGAAAACCTTCGGGCGGCAATTCCAAACAAACAATTTTTTAAGGATGGCCTTACAACTAAAATTAAATTATTCTTATCTAAGTATAATTTTTTTTAATGAAAAGCTTGACACTTTTTATGATATACATTGTAATATTTTATTAAAATCAAAACAAGACAATAAAATTACAATAACGTTTATGAAATAAATACATAATTTTATACCTTTTGGTTTGAGTGTGTCTGGGGAAATACGTCTAAGTACAGGATCATCAGTTAATGTCTCTACCAAAGACCAAAAAAAATTAAATTTGCCTTTCCAAGCAGATAAATAGGATACAAATGCAATCCTGCTTTTATCTTGTAAACATCCAGAGTTACTTTGTCTTTTTGTCCTATTTCTCAAAAGGGAAGTAAATCCTGCTGACTATACTCTGTATATTGAATGAATCAATTTCCACTCCCAAATAAAATTGATTCATTTGAATAAAAATTTTCTGCATGTACTCATCAACTTGAAATCTTCTGAATCAGCTTAAAATTGAGCCATAAAAGAAGTAAATCCAAGGTAAAAAAAAAAAAAAAAAAAAAAAAAAAAAACAATTTCAAACTTTAGCATGGCATTTAACAGACAAGGACTAAGAGTCCAAGACATGTTTATGCCTGAGAACTACATGTATTAAAACTAAAATTTACAGCATGACTTCTTGCTTAATGATTATAAAAAAAATTGTGCGACAAATATGACAAAAGAATTAAATACATGTATATTGTAATGTATTTAATTATCAAGCTATTAATTTGATTTAACTTTCATCCAAAAAAAAAAAAAAGGATTGGAATCACATCATATTATTTTACTCATATTATCATTTCTTATTTTCATTCCTAATAATTAATCTTTAGATGAATATAAACCACAAATGTAACAGCCTTTTGAAAACTTACCACTAAGGAATGGATTGTCACTGGTGAACAATCTAACAAGACCGTCAAATCCCTCCTGCTTGGTTATGTCCCCTAAACCTGCTTTTAACTGTATCCCATTCACATCACACGAGAACTCTGCTCTGTTGGGCTTGGCTGATACTGTCAAAGAAAGATATAAAATCAATTTGTCAATAAAAAGAAGTTACAGTAAAATAAGTATCTTCTGATTGCTTCCAAGGCCTAGCTACTTCATAGTAAAATTACGTAGTATAAATTATAGAGTTTTATAATAAATTAATTCTAAATTACAGTTTTTCAGTAACCTAAAACATGAACATGTTGCAGAATAAATTCTGTGTTTATAATTTTTACCATACATATTTAAACACATCGAAACTGATGCCAACATCTTCTTGTCCTACTGGCAGCATATCTTTGAGGTCAGAATGTTTAACCCTTCCCTTCAGCCCAACATTTTAAGACATATACCTCTACCCAACCAATCACACAAACCGTAATCCACATTTCTTCCTCTGCTCTAATATTTATGATTATTTGTATATCATTCCAATGTAAAACTTTGATCCCCCATTTCTACCCACCACTCTACACCCATGTACGGGTCATGTCTTAATGATTCAAATTTCTATTCCCAATGCATTGCATTTAAAGGCAATGCCTTCATTGATCCCACAAATAGAATAAAAAAAACAAGACATTTTTTGTACAGATGGTTCATATGACATATAAGGTGACTCCTGCAAGACAGACAGACAGACAGGGTGGTCCGTCTGTGCCTCTCATGCTCTGTAGAATACTCTAATTATACAAACCTGAAACTCTCGACACAGGAACACTGGTCTGACGGGTTAGAGGGATCCTCTCTTTCGTTGCAGATTCCACTTTCTGTTGTTTGTACTTTTTCAGTTCCTTTTCAAATTCCTGTCATTAATTTGATTAGAAATGAATTGAAACATCAAAGATTGACAATAATTTCTGGAAGATAAACACTTCCGTTAATTATCAAATTCATGTTCACTGTAACTGCATAAAGACAATTACTATTATAATGTATGTAATACAGTACCTTGAAAACGTTTTTATTTTCGGGATATATAACAACGTTAATCTCCATCAGGGAAGACCAGGGATTCCTCTCCTCAAACTGTTTAAAGACTCGGAACATGATTGGAGCAACTTGAGCTGGGGGCATATTGAGCTTGCCACACCCCAGGGCCGGGAACGAGATGTCATTCAGGCCTCGCTGGTCTGCTTGATTCAAACATTCCTCCACAAACCTTGTCAGTACCTAATTAAAATTGCTTGAATTGTAAATCAGATCACTCTAAATTTGAATTTTAAATCCATTCATACATATTTATTTATCACATTTTTTTGTCTGTGTAAACTGTGATAAAACTGTTCAAGCGAACTTAAAACTATCATATTAAAATTAGCAAACTAAATGTAGTCCACTTCTATACCGAATTGTATGCACGTTCAATGCAAAAAGACAAGCATATTGAATAACTTCAATAGATTTAATCATTCTATTGTAAGCTATCATGCACTTAAAGGACCATAAAAAAGATGAAGAATATTGACGTGTTCTTTTGTTTTCAGTTTTATGAAATTTTTAAAGGAGTAGCATTTTTAAAATATGGCTGATTAATATTTTAATATACTAAACTAATATAGTATGTATCATGCAAGATCTACTTCTCCTCCATTTTTTCCCCCCAAAATTCTACAAAATTCATAAGAAAGATCGAAATATTGCTGCAGACAAGCAGACAGACAGATGCAAATGCTACACATATCACAAAAGCTCTCCTGATTTTTTTTTTTTACAGTATAGAAACAAAGAATATTATAATAATACCATTATACAGTGGTTCTTCTCAGATTCAGCAGCATGCAGTTGAGGCCAGAATTCCAGAGCTCCATGATACACAAACTTACAGTCCAGGCTGAAACCTCGCGTCACTGCCACCTCTCCTGGAGTTATCCCTCTTGGGCTGTACTTCTTTAGCTGTTCCTGAATTCCCTTGCCTGCCATTTCGAGAATGGATTTGGAGACCTTTCCTGAATTCAGGTCTAAGTTTTTGGCTGTAGTATTTACAATTACGTCTGTCTGTCAAATAATTTAGGATATCAAATCATCTTAGAGAGATAATATTACCCAGGGGTATATATACTCAACAAAAAAAGAAACGCATATTCAGATTAAACATGATAATCTTAATAATAAGTTTTCAGTTTAAACCTTATTATTTTAAAAAGTGATTTTAGTGTGTGTTGTGATAAAAATCAAACATGTCCCATGTTTCAAATTGAAAAGTTAAGGCCATAATAAATAAATTGCTAGATTCTCATCCGAATTTTTTTTAAAAATCGAGGCGGGCGGGCGGCTTTTATTTTATATTTTTTATTTTTTCAATTTTGCAGATTTTTTATTGACCTGGTCAATTGGTGTAATTTTATCTACAATACCCGAATAAAAGTCATAGTAAAGGTTCAATATCTCTTACTTCACATTATCACCAATCTTTTTCAACCAATGACCCTTGTTTAAAATATATACGCATGTATTACAGCAATTACCATCTTTTCAGCTGTCAACATCATGTCCACTTTCGCGGGAGAGAGAAACGAAAGTAGAATGGTAGATGAATGAAACGATTTCGATCAGAATTAAGACGAAGAAAAACAGAAATAAAAAAAATCGAGGCGGGGGTATAAAATCGGGGCGGGCGGGGATGAGAATCTAGGAATATTTTTATTATGGCCTAAGTTGATATCATTGACGTCCCGTCCAAATTCCAGGGGCATACGCTTTACGCAATCCATATGTCCTTTGTGACGTATCAGCGCTAGCTAGTGGATTTCCAATGTATGGACGTTGTGCCCGAATACCAGCTCCTCTCTGTCTCTTTCGAACAATTTGTTCACTTTATGCTGATTTCAGAAGTTTGTACAGCAGTTCTGAGTCGATTGCGCAGGTGCTGAAGGAGGATCTGACGGTTGTTTCTGGGTGTGGTAACCCACGAATGGCCAGTTCTTGGTCTCCCAACCATGTTCCTGGCTGATGGAGACGTGCGTTTAACCACTGCAAAGCCGATTGATGTACAACAAATACTTCTGCAACTTCCTGTTGCATAGCTCCAGTTGGTATCATCGTTAAAGCCTTGCGGCATTCATCTTCGTTTAGGCGTTGCATTGCAGCATCAACATTCTAATCAAGTCTTAAATATGTGTTTAATAGGAGTGTTTATTACTTTTCTAAATCCAAAATATAATTGAAAATAGAACCCCTAATTTACATCATGAAATCATGTAAAACACTATTTTCTTAAACATGATTAATCAAGGGAAATATTTCAACACTTGGGTTTCAAAAGCCCATGTTATACTTCAATTAGGTCACAGGTATCCAATGATAAAAAAAAGTTGTTCCATATACTTTTTCGAAATTTCTTTAATGAGTAAAACTATAAATGTATGTGTTTCTTTTTTTGTTGATATATAAAATCAGCTCTTCTGTATAAGAGCTGTAAATACTGTGCATGAGGACAAAAAGAAACATTTTAGCAAAGTCAGACTAACAGAAACACTTAATCAAAGTCTGTTTATGCATAATTTCATTTTTTTCTACAGGTATCAGTAAGTTACCTTTTGTTTGGCTATTTCTCCTCTAATAACCTTTATATTCAGCCCATGTCTCATCTTTCTCTGAGGTTTGGGAGGAGTCTCTATGATTCTATCCCCCGAGGCGTCTCGACATACACGGCAGATCTGCTCACAGATGTCTCTCTCTGGGTCACAGAGCGTTACCACCTTTACAAATAGAATGGCAGTATACATGTCTCTCTCTGGGTCACAGAGCGTTACCACCTTTACAAATAGAATGGCAGTATACATATCAGACATTGAAATACCCACATAGGGTACAAAAAAATTCAACTTCTGCTACCCAAATATGGCTGTAAACTCAAGTAATTGTTTACTTAAAACTTGAAAAATTAAGCTGAAACTATAACTAAACTTTTGTAATTGAGCGAATAAAAGTATACTCTCCCCCCCCCCTCCCCCACCAGTCCTACTGCAACTTTTTAAAAAGTGCTTTATCCAATATTGTATAAATTGTCTTACACAATGTATGGACCTGTCATGCATTTTATACTTTTTCTTCCAGTAATAACTCAGTTGTCTGAATGACCTACTGTCCAAGATTCAATATTATAATACCTCACCTGATCAAAATAAAATTTTTACCACAATAAGCTATGTGACATATTTCATGAGTGAGGAATATAATGGACTTAGTGTCATCGATACCTGTAGCTCAGACTATAGAGTGCCTAACTAGTAATGCAGGGGTCCTATGCTTGATTCCAAGTCAACCGTTTGTTTTCACCTCTCCTGCTACAACTTATTAACTTACCTGTAGGTCACAGTGAGCCCCCGCTTTCATTATGTGTGTCTGTAGAGCGACAATAATGGCCTTGGTTAACTTTCCATAAGGCCAGTTCTTAAAGTCCCTGACGGGAAAGGTCACAGAGGTGTATCTATGTTTCTGAAGATCTTCAAACATCTCCACCAGCATGTCCATCAGTTCGTGCTTCTCTTTTCCACTGCCAGCTTTCCACCGGGGAACAATGACCTTAGCTCCCTTCTTCTTCTGGCCCTGTATGTACAGAAACCGACACTGACCTATAAAAACAATAAATAGGTAATATCAACTCTGTTAAGCAGGTCTGTCAGTTAAAATTTCAAAAAGTTTTACAAATGCTAAAATTATGAGTTATATCAATCAATTAGCTGTTTCTCCCCTCTCTAAAATACTATTGAATTTTAAATACTGTAAATAAAAAAATTTAGAAGCAATGATTTTTAAAACTTTATATTTATTATCCCCTTATTAAAAGTAATATGTGTTACTGCATTGTGTATCTTTAGTATCATTTGAATTACATAAGTAAAAAAATACCATATGGTGTATTCTCCAATTTATCAGCAGGTTCCACAACCATATCAGCCTCTGTCTGAGAAGCATCCCCACAGAAAATGTGAATGTCAACCTGACCTTCCACTCTGAATACAGGAAATCCTACATCCTGCAACCTCCATCCTGAAGGATTTAGTTTCTGGGCCTGATCCTTCTGATATATTCCTGAATCTTCTACTTTAATGGAACTACGGTGATGTCGTTCGAGGTACTTAATAAGAGCAAAACTGTTCATTTTCAAAATTTCATAGGCTTCTTCTGATTTGATGGATATTCTTTGACTGGAGATTTCTTTAATTAAATCCAAAATAAAGTTGACAGCAGCTTTGATGTTCTCTTGTGTTCCCATAACAATTATTCCAGATGTTGTCCCAGGCCCGTCTGCTATTCCTACAGATTGGCTTCTTGCCATTTTCTCTATGTCTGGCATTTTCCATCTCTTAATGTACCTAAACATATCTTCCTCAATTTCAAAAAATTTCTCAGTTTCCTTTTCTTTAACTTTTTCTTCCAAGAAACTTAGACACTGATTTACATCTTCTGTCCAATTACTGCAAAATGCAATGTAGATGAATTCTTCTTCTTCTTCACAAACCATTTTGCCATCATTTTTCTGCATTAATTCATTCATTTTCTGATTTAACTGCTGCATGTCTTTAGGTTTGGCTATGCCTCTCAGACTAACGTTCTGCAGTATGGTGTTAAGCACAGTTTGGGCAGTTTGCTCTGTGTCAGCATAGAGAACCAGACGGTTTTCCTCAATTAAAGGCAGCCAACAATACCTGCATCCCAATTCACTCAATTTCTCATGGTCAAGGAAAGATGCCACATCATCTAAACTAAGTAACCGTAACAGTAATGGGTGCAACTGTGTCACCTTCATGTAAAATCCAGCCAGCCATTCATTGTCTTGGATTGACTTGATGGCCAGGTTAATGTTCTCAATCATTCCTTGTAAAACTACAGCCTTGTCTTGCAGATTTTCTACCAGAGTGACATCATATTTTTTCTTGAGAACAGACTTTCCATCCATCATAGACAGAAGCTTTAACTGCACACTAGATACTGGGATTGTCTGACAGTGACCTTGAGCCAATGTCACTACCTCATCTTCTGCTGTTTCTCTTTTTGGTGTAGACACTCCTTCCTCTAAATCTAACTCATCATCTTCATCTAAATTCTCCTCAGTCATTTCCTGATCAGACTGGAGCTCCTCAGGTTGGCTGGCTTGCCTGAGTTCCATGACATAGGTCTGACTATCAAGAGGCTGAACAGCTTCTGATGCTGATTCCATCACCTCCTGGTTTCTTTCAGATCCATTCTGCTGAGAAGTTTCCTTTGTCAAAACATCTGTGAGAAGTTTTGACACATCCTTTAGGTTGTCACGATCTATCCGACCATGCAAAGAGACAAAGTCTTCCAGGGTCCTTAATACAGCAAACTGTGTTTTTCCATATTTTGTCTCTTCTGTTTTCAAAAAACTCCATTTGTCTGATGATTGTCCCCCACTACTTTCTTTTCCTGTTCCAAATAAATCTGAATCTCTCTCAACATTTTGTTGCACATTGGATGGCAATTCCTGCAGCAGGTCTCCAGAAACACTAGAAATTTCCATCTGTTCTCCTGGAATATTTGTATTCCTGATATTTTCACTGGAAAGTCTTGGAACTGATGGTGATTCACCTGGTTTTAAATCAGAAAAAGTTTGCAAAGATTGTCCAGCTGAGGGGTGATTTGGTATTGAATTGGAATCCTTTTGAACTTCCACAAAGGACTGTTCCTGTACAGAGGTGTGATGAATACTGCTATTCGCTGCACAGAAATTAATGGACCTACTACTGTCTATTTTCAGGGAAGTACCCACGGTGTCTGGCAAAACATAAGATTCGTCATTTTTTGAAGGTAGTCCCCTGTTTGACTTTAAACTTTCCTCTGGCCACCATTCGAGTGAGTTTCTTGGTACTTCAAAACTCTTCAAGTTATCCGCCTGATAAGAAGACACCTGGTAACCAGCTGAATAGGAATCAGAAGTTTTGTTCTTCAGATCTGTGTTTTCTGACAAATGATGCCTATCTGTTTGGAAGCATGGTCCTGGTGAGTCCAAAGGGGGATCAAGATCAGATTCATTCTTTGAATCTTTATCTCCAACTTTGTCTTGTAGGTTTAGCAGAGAATCAAATCCATTGAAGCTGACTAAACCCAGTTCATTATCCGGTCCCTCACTCTCCTGGGTTGGTTGTGAGCCTTGACTTTGTTCTGCAGACACCATGGAAAAGCTTTCATTTTTCGAGGACACGATCTGCATGACCTGTGTTTCACTTCTGTCAGATGTAACAGATGACTGTTCAAAACTTTTGAAATCATTATTGTCTAAAATAATTATACTATCACTGGACTCCGTTGTGCTCATCCTGAATATGTCACTTTCTCTGGAATCTGTTATCAGCCCAGTAGGTTGTAGGTTTTGGTTATCTGCAGTAATTGTGGAGGCTGTACCAGAATGAGATAGTTGTCTTTCATTTACAATGTCATTCAAGATCTGTGCCACACGTGGATTAACAAGTCCGGATTGCTGAGAAGTATTCGGTGATGTCTGGCTTTGATCAATGATGGAGATACTTTCATGCAGACTGTTTCCAGAATTATCGATCAAAACATCCTCATTTACTGAATTAAATCCAATACTGTCATGAGGGGACAAATTAAAATCTCCTACAGGTTCCTCCTGAGATGCCACAGAAACAGGAGTAATATTTTCTTGGGGTGAATTTGAAGACTCTTCAGACACAGATACATTACTGCTTGTCAACAGAAGAGAGGAATCTCTGCTCACATGAATAAACTCACTCGAGCTCAGATTTTCATCAAGCTTTATAGGTGTGGTTGCCATTCTCAGTGTTATGAGAGAATGATCTGGAGTAAGTTAGTCCATAACAAAGCTATCATTTCCTGAAAATAATAATAAAAAAATATCATACAGAACTTCTTCGTTTGTTTTTATGTTTGAGCTGGAATATTTTCCATCCAAAAAATTATATGAAAAAATTAAGTCATTTCATAAATCATCCCCACAATACCAGGGGTCCTGAGTCAACACAGCTTGCAGTTGGACCCCTGCCATATTTCATGAGATATATTAGGGCTTGCTCTCTTGTTGAGAAGCACCAATCAAATAAAAGCTTTAATAAACAGTTAGATTTAAATGTAAACAAAAAGGCTTCAGTTCAGAAAATGAATTTTAGAAAAAGATTCCAGACTCCCTAAAATCATATTCTCTGTGCATTGAAAGGGTAGGCTAATTAACAAAATGGATATCTAGTACTGTAACAATACTTGCGATCTACTGCCAATATTTGACAGAGGTAAATAATTCACATATGAATTGAAAGATAAAGAATATTTACGGGGCAAAACTTGTGAAATTGTGATTTCATCCGACTGGATCATCTCTCAAGAATTTACATGTTTCGTCGTTTGGTGCTAGCTATCAAACAAAATGGCAACCGGATGAAGCGATCAGCTCTTATTTTAGCAGAAAATAGGATTGCAGTGTTTGTACATGTAATCATAATTTGTTAGAGATTCAGTTTATCTGTTTTGTTGATCATTTAATTTATTGAAAATAAACATAGTTTATAAACATTTTTTTAGATTACCTGGTATAACATTGAAATGTTGTTTATAGGTGAAACTTGAAAGAATATTTGTCATATGTGACATAAAATGAACCCTGGTTCTCATCCATCAAGGTATAGTACCTTACCGTTAAAAATACCATATCGTACTGTATCGTACTGTTTCATCCTAAACGGTATCCAACCCTAGCCATTATTGGTTTTAATATTTTTTGTGACAGATCCATTAACATATCGGAGACAACAGTTCAACTCCACCATCCACCCCCACCCCCCTAATATAATCAGATAACATGTAATTTGATTTAATTCTTACTTGTCTTTTTTGGGCTCTAAATTAGAACATGTAATTTGATTTAATTCTTACTTGTTTTTTGGGGGTTCTAAATTAGAAATAAATTAATGTTTCCCTGTAGTGTGCACTTGACTAAAACTTTTTCTTGAAAGTGTAACACTGTAAAACTATAAGTACTTGTCACTGAACTAGCTACAACTCTTTATTTTCTTCATAACAATCACCTGTTTTGACGTTTACAATTGCGTATTTCTAGAAGCTGGACTTTCCTACTTTCGTTTTACCACCTCTAGTATTGCCAAAACGAATGTGTAAAAAGGAGATTTATTTGCTCATTTTATTTCAGTACATATATAAATTAGATTGTAAGTAAATTTTTTATATGTATTCGATGGTTAATATAAATGTATTTAACTTACTTTAATAAGTTTCCCGTTGATCTGTCAAGTTCCGGTAACTGGAAATTCCAGAAGCCCCCCGTTTTTTGGAGAATACCTATACAGAAGGGTAGAAGCCCCAATAAAGTGGTAGAAGCCCCATAAAATTGAATGAAATAGGGTACATAAAACCCTAAGGTGATGCTTAAATGAATGATATTGATAACCGTAAATTTTTATAGCCAATTTTACCTCAGAGTCGACAGAAATCGGGCGCCATTTCTTCTTGTTTTCATATACCGTACACCACGCCCGATCTAAAATCGCGATCGCTGAAGTCGTTTAGAGTAATCCGTGAAAATCATTACCATTATCTTGATCAAAAGTGAATAATATAATATATGATTTTTATTTAGAAAAAAAATATATGAAAGGAAAGTTAAGAATATAAATGAAGCATTAAATATTTACATATTTCCTAAATGAAATAAAATATTAATTATGAACATATTTCATGGCCTACTTGAATTCTTTTATCCACACTGGTTTGTACCTACCAAAAAGAATTTTATATCGAAAATCATTATTGAAAATATGAAAATATTTGTATAGATTATGTGTACTGTTACATAAAAACATTGTGATTTAACCTGTTGATAGAGATTACTGTAACAGTGAAAATACTCATTGACTGGGTGTTTTAAATGAATTTAACTAGGCAATTAATAATTAATAAAGTTCCTTTTTTAAAATTCCAATCATCTATAATATAAAATTAAGTTAAATAAATTAATGAATAAAGTGATTTAAGTTGTTAATTTATTTAATTTCAAAGGTATTTGTTTTGGTTTCTTTTTCTTCCAATTGTTTATTTATATTTGAAATTCAGTATTCATGCATTCATTATTATTTTCCAGTCACTTGTTGTAATTTTTTTTTGGTTCTGTTTTATTTGGGGGAGGTTTTTTTTTATCATTTTTTTGTTCATGTAATAGAACAAATTATACTCATTGATATTAGAGAGCAATATGTATCCATTAGAATGAAATTATTAGAATCCAGGTCCAGGAAATAAAAAAAGTTACATAAAAATGAATAAAATGTGCATAATTGCATATGCAAACACTTGTAAAGTGGTATGAATATGGAGAGAATATTATTTACACATCAGCTAGCTGTGTTGTTATGTACTGGGATAAAGAGGCACCCCTGTGTGTGTACATGCAATATATACACAGCTGTTGACACTTGGTCAACTTGACAATAAACTTCTTTTGATCAAACACCTGTTCTCAGCTAGTCTGACCAACCCCCCTCTGGCAGGGCATGTGTATATATACACTGAACCTTGACTTTGCTCAATTGTTCTTGACTTTCATTATCAAATTGTAAAATAAATGATTTTGTAATATAATTTTTTTTTTAAAATAATGTTGATATGAAATGGTAATATGCTTTAAATACAAATTTTCATTTTAAGGACGTTAGCTGCACACATAAGGAAAATAAGGAAAATATGAATTTGATAATTTTGATACTAATATTAATAATGATAAATTAATAAAGACCTTTTAAATTAGTAATACCTGGAAAATATTCAAAGTTTCCTTATGTTCCCAGCTCTAGCCATGTGGAGGCCTCCTTAATTGTAGAGCCATGATTTGAATTTTGAAACAGAAAAATATTAAAGTCAAAGGACCGAAAGATGACCGAAAGATTAAAAGAAAATTTTTAAAAAAATTTAAAAAGACTTATTTTAATAAAGATACTTTATCATTATTCCTAGTCAATCTTTTGTTCATGTATAAACATAATTATTACAGCCAAATGAAAGAAATTGACATAAAATTAAATAACATTATAAAAAATTTTATAGAAAGGAATTTATAATTTAATTAGCAACATTAAAAAAATATATATATTCCTAAACTAACCTAATCTAACACAACACCAAACAGTATTCACTGGTCTGCAGTACTCTGCACCTGTCTGGCGGGGGAGGAATACTGCCTGATACTAACCCTACTCTAGGAAAAATAATAAGTATACAATTTTAAAAACATTTTTGGGTTTTAATGGTTTAAGACTGGTTTAAAAGCGTTTCTGCAAGTGGGAGAAAAAGATATATATTCATCTTCTCTGTCGGTTATAGTGTTAAGAATCCAAAACATTATTGAAAAACTGTTAAGAAATGATTCGGTTCAGAAAATATTTATTGGAAGTCTGTTTAGGCAAATGATTTGTGAAACCCTGGATCCAGGAAAGTACAATTCTACTGTTTTTGACATAAATAACACACTACGGAGGAAATATGGGAATTGTCAGAATGTGATATTTTGGAGATGTAGGGGTTTAATGAATTCAAATAAAAAACATTTGGCGTGAAGATGGGATTAGTTTGAACAGAGAGGCAATGGAAATTTTTAGTCGACAGATTCAACTGGCAATGAAATGTAAAATTACATAAAATACCTATGCTAGGAGATGATAAAAGATTTTCAGTTCTCTTAACCAGACTGAGATTTTTTCGTAGTTAAAATTCAATCAAAAATTCCGTTATATTTTATTTTGTGGTGTGTGTTTTTTTTACTTTACTTTTTTTTAAATTCATATTTCTTTTATTTTAATGACAATTCATAATGTAAACAACTGATGTAAAATATTTAAAACATCTTAATTTTTTTTCTAAGAAAAGAACATAAAAAAGTTACTTTGAAATAAAATATCTATATATTTGAAAATTGATATATTCTTTTAATTTACTATTTCTTTCCAGGTTTCAGTATTTTCATATTTTGACATTGATTTACTTTTTGTTCTCTTTTAACATATAAGTAATTATTTTCATTTTTAAAATTTAATTATTATTATTATTATTGCTTTGAACCTTTGAATTTCATATCTTTATATTTCTAAATTCATAATTTGTCTAAAATCTCAAAAATAAATTCAGTATTTTCATATTTTGAAATTTATTTATTTTTTTGTTCTCTTTGAAACATATAAGTTTAATTAATTATCATTTCTATTTTTTATTATTATTGTTGCTTTGAAGCTTTTGGATATAATCATATCTCTAAATTCTAAATTTCTCTAAAATCTCAAAAATAAAAAAAAATCTTAAATTATCTTAATGGCTAACGTTCTTAATTTAAAAAAAAATATTTATTACATAATATTTGATATATATCTTGCATAACAAACATATTAAAATTAAAATGAATAATTTTAACTTTATCTATACGATGATAAACAGCAGCTCGCTTCGAAATTAGATCGGGCGTGGTGTACAGTAAACCAGTAATGGCGCCCGATTTTGTCGACTCTGAGGTAAAATTGGCTATAAAAATTTACGGATATCGATATCATTCATTTAAACATCACCTTAGGGTTTTATGTACCCCATTTCATTCAATTTTATGGGGCTTCTACCACTTTATTGGGGCTTCTACCCTTCTGTATGGGTATTCTCCAAAAAACGAGGAGCTTCTGGAATTTCCAGTCACCCGTCAAGTTCAACTATGTTTTTTACAAAACGGAAATTCGAGAACTATAAACTTCAAACTGGCAAATAATGATTTCCGGAAAAGTGAATGAATGTGTTTTCATAATCAAAGTACTGAAAATACTGATGGGGTTTGATTTTAATAATCGATATAATAACACAGGAGTTCGCGTACCTATCAATTTTACCGAAAATTTCAGGAAATAAAAAAATACGTAATACCTAAATAAAAAGAAATACGTAATACCTATAGGTAATATGTTTTACGGTGTGACCGTTCGGGCGAGCGCAGGTGTACCATCATAAACCTACATATGCACTTCCTATCATTCAAGAAAAAGAAAGAAAAAGAAGAAAACTAAACAATAAAAAGAAATCACTTCCCAAGCATCGGGATCGAGATTCCGAACTTCTCGGGAGTTTCCGACAAAATCGGAAATACCCGAACCATTTAAGTGACGAAAGTATGACGTCAGATAAAAAGTCCTGTTGTCTTAGGACGCAAACGATAGTTTTGTGGCATGGAGATTGCATTAAATCATTGTTTGTAATTTTTTTCAAGTAAGTTGTTGCTATGTTTTAGCCACCACGTTGCTATGCACCGCAAAGGATTATTGGGAGTTTGGAATTTTTTCACGCGGTGAGATAAAAATTTCGAAAGCGACTTTTTGCAGCTTTTGGCCTACCGAAACATCCCGAAGTTTGCGCATGCGCGAAATCGGAAATCCTCTTACTTCAACATGGCTGGAAGAAGATGCGCGCTTGCACTTCAGTGTATTGTTTTTGCTGCGGTAAGCTTAGTTTTCTCACCAGTAATTAAACTATATTGTAATAATTATAAATCTTTGATGCGTCTTAGATACTTTTCTGTAAAAATTAATTAGTGCTTCATTGAAAAACACAAACAATTGAGCAATTTTTCCATCTCGTTGAAGGTGCTGAATTAAAAACGAATTAAGTAGGCCTCATATTATCATTAAACAGTATGCTCTTGCTAATAAATAATTAATAATATGTTTTACGGTGTGACCGTTGGGGCGAGCGCAGTTGTACCATCAAAAACACTTGAGATCAGCCACTTCGAACGTCAAGCCTCACGAGATATCTCGACTAGCTGTGACGTCATACGACGTCACAAAGCTCGTCGGAGCTTACGGAGACAGCCGAGCGTCTGTTTGAAACTATAGAACTAGTGCAATTTTTGTCGAAAAACATTGCAGAGTTATTTCTTGTTTCTTTGAAAGATTTCTACAAACTGAAAGTCTGATATATGCTTTACGTTATTTTTTATTTATTTATTCGGCAATATTCGCGCAAAGGACATTGGGTAGTGCAGGAATTCTGGGAATGTTGCACAGAGAAATTTGGCTGACGTATGTACAGATTTCAATCCGAATTTCCTTTGTTCTTACACGTTAGTCTATTGAGCTCGCTTCGCGAGCGTCGCTTCGCGACGCTCGCTGCGCTCGCTATAATGAGAAATGATGTTCCCCATATTTAATCATATATCTACAATTAACATCAGTTTTCTTTGGAAATCAGCATTTCCCCAAGGTCATTGCTTGACATTGTATGCAACTTTGTCTCTGCCAATGTCAATTGTCAGTTATATTAAAAAAAATTGTTTGAATTATTCACAAAGACATCTTTACTGTTTTAGAAAAGTGTTCTTTTTATCAATACATGCTTCTATCAAGTGATTCAATGAATTCAAAATATTACCCACTGATTTTTCATGGAAAAATTTGAAGACCAAAATCACTTCTTCAGGTCAGCCAATTTTTTTTTAATAGGCAGGATAGGATATGCTTTAGCCCTTTCTTCACCCCTTCTCCCCAAGGAGAATGTGAAAGAAGTATCATTTAAAATTTTTTATAAATGTTTATATAACATTGATTTTTCGGGGGAAATGGTAGGCCTTTAAAAATCTGTAAATACCCAATACTTCTACCCAGGTAATAATATCAGGATTGTACCAACTATGTATTCCTTTTTAGAAAAATTCAGTTACCATTTTTACTTGATCTTAAATTCTATCAATGTGGTACCTCCTATTTTTGGCCATGGTGTAAGGGTGAATTGTTTATCGAATTTTGTAAACGTTTAAACGAACAGCAGTAAACAAAATGGTACCATTTAAGCGGGAGACTTTTATGTGTTGAATTTTTTATGGCTACTTAGTCATGAAACACTAATTTAATAAACCATTCTTTCACTATAATGTATGTATAAGTTGTCATTACTGTTTATTTGTTCATTTTGTTGGTTTTTATGACAAAAGAGGTGTCAAAAACTGAAACGAGATAGTAAAATAAAAATATAATACGATAACATTAAGGGTTCCGGTTTACGTTCAATTTTTCAAAGCTCGATCTGTATTCATCACTATACCTCTATAGATACTTTTTATTTCTTAATCAATAAAAAGCAACAACCATTGACAACAGGTGTTATTTATTATAGAATATATACTTGAAAAATTAAAAAAATACATTGCTAGTTTTCACTACTCATAAATTGGAATTAAATATGTTAGACCATATTGGTTTCTAGATAGTTTTGTTATATATTGCATTTCCCGTATGATTGTAACAGAAAAAAAATGTTTGTAACAGACACAGAGTGTGTTTTCTTTGGTAAATATGAAATAAAACAACTTCGTCGTATAACTTTTTTCTGATAGACATTGATATTAACCTTCGTGTAAACTTTTAGAGCATTTAATCTGTTTACATGTTGTAATCATTTTGAAAGCCCTGGTGTTTAGTTTTATTATTTAATAAGGGTTCATAATCAGGGATTGGGTCAATTAAATTACACATTTACCCTTTCTTCAAATAAGACATGTAACTAATTTAGTATTATAACTTACAGTTTTAAAACGTTCAAGAATTATCTGTGACTGTGATTAGATACTATAAGTGCAGTTTCCTCCACACAAGACCTACATGTACACAAATTGAATGCCTTGTTGACTTAATTAATTATTTCCAGTTCATGTTGAACATTTTTACTTCAGTATAATAATTGGATGTAACTTTTTCAGATGCAAAATTCCATTACTATTTACTTTCTTCAATAAATAATTGTTGAATTGAAAGTTATTCTTTTCAAATTGAAATAACCACCTCTATATAATTGTTCTTATTTCCAGATGATAAACACTGTCATGATCCCGTGCCGGATTGGACAAAACAAGATGGCGGCGGGAACAAATCGAAAAAGGTAGGTACCTGAGATTTCGGTAAATATCCCCCGTTAACAGTCAGGTATGCTTGATTCGAAGATACTGTCGAATTGCTAGTAAAATGCTTATTAGTGTGCTTAATTGCTACTTTTCCTATCGTCTCTTAAACTTGAACATTTAACGACTGAAGACTGCAGAATTTCTCCGATTGAGTTTGAAGCGGCATGGAGTTGTTTTTTTCTTCGATTTTGACAGTTTTATGCATCCAGCAGCAGGAGTGTGGCTAACAAATGATAATTTGGAGTAATGCTGACCCGTTGTTATATGTTTATTTGTTATAACCCATTCTATTACAAAGATATTTCAATTTAAAAATGTTGGCATGTGCTGGATTGGAATCGGTTAATTTTAATGGAAATTGTGCCGGATTAGACTGCATTTTTGGTGCCGGATTGGATGATGTTCATTATAGTCATTTATGTAATAACTTCTTTTCTCCTTAATTTTTAAGATATGGATGCATCGTTTAATAAAATATACGAGAAGGAGGACTTTAAATAATATAGCTTATCTTACCGAAGTAAGATTGTTATCAGTTACAGTATGCCCCCCCCCCCCCCCTCGATTAAAAATCTTTTTTTTTCCTGTTTCTTTTTATCTCAGATTTTATTGTACCCTTATTTCTTTTACAGAGACCACTGTTTTGGTAGACCCAAAGAGCTCGTGGGGCCAGAAGAAAGGAAAGGAGGAACTGTTAGTAAGCCAGAGGAATCGTCCGCAAAACCCTTAACTTAAGCATAGCCTACGAGAATTTCACCATGCACAAGAGGCGAAATTCAAAATTGCATCGTGTTACTTAGTAGGGCCTTTCCGTCAGAGGTCAGAAAAACAGCCTCGAATGTATCATCATCAACGGGTGTTAAAAATTTATACATTTCCTGTTTATTTGAATATAGGATTGAAGGGTTTAGAAGTCCCCTCTCTTGTATATTTTAGGTAATATCATTGCAGTCAATAAAGTTAAACTTCATACTCCACAGATAAGAGGTCTTCCAACATTTATTTCAAAGTTTGTGAAAAGGGGGGTTGTCATGGAGTCTATGTAGTTCAGGTACATTCGAGGTTATTTTTAGACTGCTAGTAGGAAAGGCCCGAGAGTTTGCCATTGGCGAAATTCGATCCTACTTAACAGAGTACCTACGTACGCTAGTACAAAAGAGTACTTTAGGGTACGCTAGTAAAATTTTATAATTTAATGCAAATGAATTGCTTTTTGTATGTTTTTTCCTAAATTAGTTTAACATAATAAATATATCATTTAAATAAAATGTGTACGTGTTCTTTATTTTCGAAGTTAGGCCTATTTTAATTTTTTGATTTCAGATAACAGTTTAATGCTTGATCCCGATATCGATGTAATTTAACTTCAAATGATTCGTTGTTAATGTGTAAATTATTACATTTTAAGTAATGCAATTAATTTAATTTTTGATGATTTAGAATTAAGTTGAAATTAATAAGTCTGAAACAACATTACTTATGCTTTAGTAAATGTTCATTGAAGGGCTGGATGGCCCCCAACTTTTTGTGAAAATGTAGCATTAAAAAATGTTACTGAAAGAAGTTGGCTTTGAAATTGAAATTTCTCTGGCTGCCCCCCCCCCCCCCTTTAAAAACGATGCTACGTGGATGTACTGTACAAAACCATGAACATGATCGAGGAGAATACTAGAATTTCACATTTGGTTGTATTTCAGAAGACAAAATCAAAATGTTTCTTCTGTTTATAGGCAAATCAAATGAACTTACCGTAAAATTGTTTACAATAAATTTTGGTAAAATAGTAACTTGCTAGAAAAAAGTGTCAATGAAGACAAAGGCTTTCCTTAACCTACTACGGGGCACAGGTGCTTGAGGACAGGACCCAACCCCCCCCCCCCTTCGATATATCCGGTAGACCCCTGGGCTTTTTCGACCTTTTTCTCATAAATTATCTTTCATTGACATATTTGTGATAAGATCTATACCAACAAATCGAAAAAATACCTAGAACAAACGTTCTATAAAATCTACCTTACATTCTATATATAAAAATCAATTATTATTTTTTTATATATATAGAGTGGGGTAGATTTTTTAATAAAATGTTAGTTTAAGTAAATTTTCTGAATTGATAGGATAGATTATATCACAAATGTGTCATTCATAATAATTTATGTGAAAAAAGTCTAACGGGCCCGGGAGGGGGGGGGGGGGGTTCTGTCCTCAAGCACCTGTGCTACGGGGAAGAGATATTCAAAAAAGACGAAGTAAATTTCGGACATTTTTTGTTAACATTTAATAAAATAACAGTCATAAACAAGAAAAATAATATAAAACTAGAGCCGAGCTCGTTGCAAAGCAACGAATAGGTCTTCCGTTGGAGCTACGGATAAGAAGACGTAACCTTGAGTCTAGGTCAAGCCACATTCTAAAGTTCTACAAGTGAAAATTTAAACCTTTTAAGAGAAGCAACTTGCAATGTTTAGCTAGGAAAAAGACTGTAAAGGAATATATGTGACCTTGAACTTTCCAAGTGACCTTGAACTCTCCAAATGACCTTGA